TTGAGAATTTGTACAGCATCTCTTATAATTCATTTCAGAAATAATCTTTTTTAATTCATATTCAAAAAGATACTTTGTGTGTTACTTGGGAACATATTTACGCTCAAATATCCATACTTCTTAAATTTATTGAAACTCTCTAGAGGTGGTAACAACAAGGACCTCATTCTTCATATGAACTGCTTTTTGCATGCATAACATCCCTCCACCATGTGCCCGCTTACGTTCGTGGACTTATTGTTTTTTTTTGTTAGACTATGAACTTCTTTCGCTCACCCAACAATTGCCCGTCCAGCACGAGTAGCGAACATAAATATTTCATCTGAGGAATTTCAATTAGAATTTCCGCCGGAATTAAAGCCGCGGCGCGGCGATACGTCTTACCCAAAAATCCCAAAACCCTCGGAAAAACCCAAGTTTTTTTAATATATTTTTCCTGCGAGGCTCATCGTTTTGCACGGATGCATTCAACTCTTTCAAATAGGAGGGCTCACTACTGAAAAGAGTATGAATGAGAGGAAAAGTTTGGGAAGCAAGCCGTAAGCCAACAACTCCTACCGCAGTGAGTTCATTCCATGATGATAGTCGGAGGCTGATGGTTACACGGCTAGAGGCATATTCCTACCAACAATTCCAATGCATACATTTCGCTGAGAGAAGCCACGACAGCAGCAGCGGAGCATTTTGCATTTCGGTATAGCTGGAAAACAGGTTCACCGTTCGAAGGCAATTCCCTCTCCCATGTTCCATCTTCGACCGGAACTGTATCTACCCGCTGACACAGCCCGATGTAAGCCTGAAATATTTAATTTAAAAATTAAAGCGCGCTACATTATTCATATCGGTTGTAACGCCAATAAATTAATGTCATTGCAGGTTGTCACTGGCAGCGAGTGCACTTGCAACCGAAATTTTAATAATTACCGCGTGGCGATTGTCATTAAGTCACGTGTGGGGTGCTGGAAAGGAATTCAGCGTGGGTGTGACAAATTGTTTGTGAATAACGCTACTAGTTGAATCGATGGGAGATAATGTTCACAAAACAGTTTCATTTCATGATAGGGCAAGCATGCGTATACAGGTTAAGGTATACTGCATTGTTTTTGACAGCACCCACTATCAGAGTGTTACCAGTATCTGAGCTTATGGGCGGGATGGTATTTCCACATAACATCACTTTGTTATCACGGAAATGGCGAAGAAATTATTTGCAATTTCACAAAATTAATGAAGATGTCGAATATTTTTTACAAATCTCTATTATTTGGGACATCATCTGATGGATTTGACAATGATAGAAAAAAGAGACGGCTGTTGAATTCGACACATTATATTATGTTCTGGTTTACTCAAATTCGCAAAAAAAAAAAGCAGGTCACTCATAGACGAAGAAACTTTTCAAAATTACTGGAATATCATATCTACTCGAACATGATGAAAATTGAAGAAATTTTTAATCAGTCTATGATTTTTTCGAACACTAAAATTTTCTGGATTTTCCTCGTAATCGCGCAGAGTGACCTGAGTTTCTACGGATTTCAGTGAACTGAACTAAAACTTGAGTCGGATTCAACGGCAGCGCACACACAAACAGACACAGCAGTGTGACCATTGTTCATGAGACACTGCCGCCACCTGTCATATAATATTAAAGTGGACAGTGCATCCAGCAGGTAGGGTAGGCGGTAGAACTCAAATGATAAACTCCATAGCAGCTGCTGATGGCCACACTGCCAATTGAAAAGGTATGGATTCTAACCACTTCGCTGGGGTCGCCCCCAATTGGCTTCCTCAAAATTGACCTTTGCTCGCTCTCTATTCTCTATATCAATATTTGATCAAAGTATTGAAAAATGCTGGACCCAACCACATCCCATCTAACTGTTTTGTTTTATGAGATTTTTAGCCGTAGGTTTGTTCATCTACGCAGATCCCATCTACCGATTACCATTCAGTTTTGAAGCTAGAAAACATTAGTTGTCAACGCAAAATGGCTCACTAGATCATTTGAAAGTAGTGGCGCTGTTGGTGTAGTGGTAAGCGTGATTACCTCTCACCCCAGCAGGCCTGGGTTCAATCCCAGTCGGCGCCACCGGGATGTTCTGAGGCATAACATCTATGATCACGCCTTCCTTCGGAAGGGAAGTAAACCCGTTGGTCCCCGGTTCATGAGTTGATGGGTCGATAGGTAGGGTCCAGGTGTGGGAGCTGCCTTCCTGGTGTCGGTAGCATTGGTGCTCAGCACAGAAAACAAGATCGACGGAAAACAAACCAAAGGAAAAAAAAAAATCATTTGATAGTAACAATATCGAAAGTCGATACGGCATAAGAACGCGTGTTGTTGTTGTAGGATTTGCGCGCTCACGGCGCGTTTACTTACTATGTGCTTTGTTGTGTTATGAGTAGTGAGTCATTAGGATGCACTTAGTTTATTACGACAGTTGGATAATAATGAAACAAAGGCTAGCCTGACACTATTTCCAGACGGATAACTGCTTTTTAATTGGAACGCCATCCAACTATTGAACTTCCAAGTAAAACGCAGAAAACCCCAAACCAGCAGATGAGGACTATGAATCAATAAAACATATCTAATTGTTCTGTAAATATTTGTTTTCAATCACGTCATATTCCCTCACTCGGTTTTGATGTAAATTCTCTATAATTTCTGAAGTGTTAAACTAAGATGAGACAATGCATGATTTCAGAAGCATTGTCATAATCTAAGAATAGAGCAAAAAAGAGAGAAAAAAAACTCACATCGCACGATTAAGCAGCTAAATCTCACTGCTAAACAATTTCTGATACATCCACTTTTGCGCTATAATCGCTCTCAACGTAAAGCGCAATGATGCACAAAGCTTTGGCTTACGTTGACCATTTTGCTCTGCTCCACTCGGTTTGCTCTGTATTGTCTCTGCATAAAAGCCACTTCAACTGTTAGGCTACAGAAAACCATCCACAGAGGGTTCGTGATGACAACAGCGTGTGATGAATCAACAGTAAAAGACACAAGGAAAACTGTGTAGCAAAAGAGAAAAAAAGAAAGACGGGAAAACCCATTAAACCGGAAGAGACCAAGGAAACACTTTGCCATGGAAAATGCAACCATTCTTCCTGCTCAGTGTTTGAGTGTATAGGAAATATACTGAAAAACTAAGAGTATCGTTATCGATGGTGGTGTGCTATCTTGGTTCAATTTTTGTTTTTGGATAGAACGCCTTGAACGAACTATATTAAATTGGTGATAACCCAAGTAACAATTTTGGTTTTATGAGGGTTCTGTAGACCATGATTTAGACTTGTAGAATGCTATAAAACCGCGATAAAACCTGCAATTTTACTTGGGAATGCACGCTCATAGAAATTCTGATAATTTAACAATACATATTTAGTGATTTATGAAAAGCACTATGAAGCAACACGCTACTATTCGACGATGCTTTCAACAAAGGTTCGACACATTCACGACATGCATATTTGTGCCTAGTCTTGTGAAATGAGTCACAATCATAATAAACAGTCTGTGGGAGATCACTGTTTGTTCTGGACTTCTTTTTTTTTTTCAGTCTGGTGGGTAAGATGCTGATTTAATTCGCCTTGAAAAATTCTTCATTGCGCTCCGTAAATATAGACAAATCAAGGTTACGTGATGACGCCGCTAATAAAATAGCAAGTACGAACAATTCTTCGAATCAAAGCATTGTTTTATCTATGCACATTTCCATTAAAAAATAGTCATTTGTCGAAACGAACTAGATATCAAACTGCTCAAAATAAAACCAAATATTCACTATCGCTTGCGAACAATGCTCAATATTGTAACTAGAAACAATATTTCAAGCCATACCCGGTAGCTGAGTGATGCATTGCGATAGCTAGCCATAGCTTAGAAAACAAACGTTGCATAGCTGCTTCCTTGCTTTTGTGATGAATTTCCCAAGATTATTGCATTTAAATTATTGGTGTGGAATATTGTGTGTGGATTTTAGAAGAAATTTTCAATTGGATCAGTTGAGTAAGATAGGAGGGTCGAAACTTTAGGAACTATATGTATCGATAGAGGCAGCCCTATGTATGCACCTTTAGAATTGATGAAACGATCCATAAAATATTGAAAAACAATTTAAAAAAAACATCCAAATGATCCATAAAACACCGCAGGAAATCTCCTGAAAAGTGTGAATGATGCTTAAAAATATCAATATGATCCATAATTTATGTAAAATTTCTTCTTTCCTTTATTTAACGTCGTTCTCTGTTCCGCAATCTAGAGCCAATCACCGACGGACATCATGCTCATGCTCATGTTCATAATTTGCCATAGAAATTTCTCGTACTGTATATTACGCTGGTTCAAAGTTGACTATATTTTGCCAATATGATATCATACGAGATAAGCAAGATAGTTCCGGATGGATCTGCTGCATATTTCTTTTAAACGATTTTTTCCACGACTAATTTTTGTTGAATATTCTCTATAATCCGTTTAATAATATTTTTTTTCTAAATTGGTTCACATTTTCAAGCATAGTCTGCTGAGTTTTCGTGCATTCCATCAAAGTGCAATCAATCAATAGTACCAAAGTATACCATATGTATTTATATTCTGAAACCACAAATACCACCGAATAAAAAAACAAACCACAGCCGCAAATAAAAGCATAAAAGTATCATAATCACCACCATCCTAGAGCGTCATCTTGTCACGGCAGATGAAGGAAAGAATCCGGCAACATGTTGAATATTACATTACGATTCTTTTCGACACATTTTCCTCGTTCGTTTCCTACTGTACAATCGTTGAAGAATCTCGCCCCTGCTGAAGCCAAACTGCCACAAAACGTGGCAACGACAGCCACGGAAGGAAAACTTTTTTGATATAAATTTTGTATTCGTCGCGTCTGTCCACAAAGCATCCTCTGCTGCTGCTGCAATCCTTGGACTACAGAAATAATAATACCAACAATATTTTCTTTCTCTTTTCCCCCTTTCGGCAGATGGTAGCGACGACCGGCTAAAGGCACTCTAATACAGGACTACTGCAAGGCAGGAGTTCCAGCTATGTCAACATAAAAATATCGCTTTCTACATTCCTTTGCCGTGCTACAAACAACGGGCTGGGGAAAGAAAAATGTAAAATAATGCAAAAACAGTCAAGATGACGATAAAACTTCACGAGTGCAAACATAAACATCATCATAAACATCATCGCAGCGGCAGCGGTCGTAGAATTAATTTCATCCGCGACAAAGTGAATAGTGTTGGTGAAGTGTTGAGAGTGAAACCGGAAGAAGTTGGGAATAGTGCAAATTGTCAGCATGGCGAGTTAGCGGAATGTGATCATGCTCGAGTACTGAGTGATGACGATGAATGCTCGGATCGCCTTGTTTACCGCCAGGATGTGAACTCAAACAGTGCACTGGCGTCAGTGGAAGACCGTTGCATCGGAGATGACAGTCAACGGTCACAGCATCACCAACAGTATCACCTCGACCATCGCGACAACAGCTGTAGCCATCCGAATAGTTTTAGTTTTAAATTTTTTCATCACAAATTTCTGCGGAATATATCTATATTGTACATAGCACTAGTGTTAATAGTAACAAATGGTAAGTTTTCTCAGTAATTTTTTATAAATGTATCTTATGCTTAATGTTTATTAAAACACATATCAAAAGTATCAATCCAAGTTTCGAGATGTCCCTTCTTGAAACTTATTCAATGAAAAGTGTTATGTTTTGATATGTAATTCAGTTATTGTCTTTTGATGTTGAAATGTCATGAAATGCCATTAATCGAAGAGATATCCAATATCAAAATCACTTGGTTTTAAGGTGTTTCTTTGCAGAATCACAATTCGTGATTTCAAAAGCATGCATCTCAAAATAAACGAGAAATATGGATTTGTAAATTTCCAGTGTAGTGCAAAATACGATTTAAAATGCAGGTCATAGTTCGAACGTTCAGCTTTTGAAAAATCAGTAACAGTATTACAAAATTCGATTATAATTTCTAAGTGCGTATCGACTCTTAAATCATCACTTATATACTCAAATAATCGATTAAATATCTGAATTATTTTGTATAAAATTTCACATGCCAGCTAAAATATATGAATTTTCTTCAAAATATAGATTTTTTTTATCTGGAATCCGTGGTCATGGATAGAAATCCTATATCCAGACAAGCCATAAATGACCTTAACAGCGAAGGCACCATTGTCTCATTTAATAATCGAAACGTGAAACAGAATATCCGTGAGCCTCCCTCTTCTGTTTTTCTTGCTTTATTCAACGTCAGTTTCTGTTCCGCAGTTAAGTGCCTATGACCGACATGCGTCGATTGCCAATTGCTTTGGCCATTTGGTTATTAATCACCGATGGAAATCAAGTGCCAGGGAGGTGACTCCACACCTGGAATCTACCAAACCCATCAACATATGGGCCAGAACCAACGGTTAAATATCTTGGAATGGGTGAGCTTAGCCAAGGTGCACAAATTTGTCCAAACAATCCGATCTCTATTACAACATTATGCAAACAAACCTGCATCAATTCATACGATGGGACAGAAGGGTAAAGTGAATGGTTCCTTCTTTCTAACTTAGTAAAAAACGGCAGCCCTACTTTTGCTCAATAAAACAGATGAAATTATCCTTAATAAGTAAAAAAAATCTCCTTAAAATAGATCGGGTTGCTCCTTAAATGATTGATCAAAATATGTTAAAAATCTTAAAATGTTCAGTAAATATTTAAAGTACGCTCCCTAAAATAGAGAAAACTGTACATTAAGCATTTGAAAATGCTCCTTAGTATGCACCGCTTTGCACCATTTTGAAGTGTAATTGTACCATATATCATCGGAAAAGCTGCTGTAGAAAGGTTAATAAGTACCATGAAATCAGCTGAAATGTACAGTAAAAATGCACAAATGCACACAATGATTTACTGAACATTTCAGCTGATTTCATGGTACATATTTACCTTTTTAATGTATCGTGTTAGTAAATTTGTGCCTAGGAACGCACTTCTAACTTTTTATCATGGCTGTATTCATTCTCATCTGCAGTACTTAATCATCGTTTGGGGACATGCTTGCAAGGTTAAACTAAAAAACTTGCAAGTATTGCAAAATAGGTGCATAAAAATCATCTATCGCCTTCCACAATTGTTTTCCACTCTTCAACTCTACGCAAATAATTCGCACAGTATTCTCCCGTTACGCGGTTTGTGCAAGTTACAAACTTGTTTGTTTATATATGATTCGCTAAAAAATCCCAACATGCATCGTAACCTCATTTTACCGATCACAAATCATGATCATAACACTCGGTATGCGAATAACCTAATACGCTCGAGAGCATTCACATGCCTCGGTCAAATACGAATTTCTTTTTATGGTCCATCTCTGTACAATGCACTTCCGGAATGTTTGAAAAACTTAAACAACCGACAATTTTTCAAAACCAGTTTAAAGCGATACTACAAATCCAAAATCAACGAGTTCTTGATATAAATTCGTGTCGATTTATAATTATAAAATTTACACTCTTTACGCTAAGCTTAAGATATTAAATTGTATATATTAATTAATTGAATTGTTTAAGAGTTGAGGATCCCTTCAAAGGAACTTTGTTCCACTGGGTACATCCTAACCTTGTTAATGATTGTTATTTTGCATCACACACCTTTAAAATTAGTAATGTTATATTTATATGTCTATATGTTTTCTTTTGTAACGTTAAAAAAAATATTATCGAGGAGTCCACTACCAGGGGTCTCTCAGTGTGAGCTCTTTGGTGTGGGGGTGTGTTGGCGGGCCTCATAAAAAAAATGATACCCTGATGCTCCCTCCCAACCCAGTATTTATTTATATATATAGTAAAAATATTTAATGGAGAAATGAAATATATCAGAACATTAAAATACGTTATAATGAAAATACATTTATATGGATACAAAAAACTGGTATTGTGCAATGAAAATAATAATTATTTTACATACAATATGATGCAGCTCTATGTCTCCTCAGCTCCCAATAAGGAAGATGTAACCCTGAAATTTGTGTTGTGTTATGTTGTGGGAGAGCTTGGGATTAAACCCATGATATTCTGCTCATTAAGCAAAACCGATCCCTCTAAGGTTATCGAGCATCTCAAAACCAAAACACTAGACGGCAAAACATGATTAAGCCCTCACCTGGTATGTAATGAACAATAGAAATACGCGATAATTCATTTATTTTCAGCATATGATGCAATATCACAAATGTTGATAAAAGGAACGGATCCCATCTTATTTAAGACCTGGATGACCTGAAATGTGTGTAACCGGGTTAATACTTATTTAAATGTAATGTAATATTGAAAATGCGTTATAATGCCATGTAACAAGATACAATAAACACAAGATTTTTACAAAACAGATAATGAACGATTCAGATTTCTTTTCAAGCTGGCACTATGCTTCCCTGGAGCCGCTCATAATAGCTAAGATTAAGAATTAAGTATAATAAAATGTAATTTACAATAATATTAAATGATGTAAAGTCAATAATGAAAGATATGTAGTACTATAAACACTACATATAAGATAACCAATAGCTAGCTTAGCTTAGATTGACTGCACATATCAATGGTTGCTACTCCGTGATTGATCAGAATCAGTGAAATTGTACAATGAATCAACTGAATAGAGAAATCAATATTTAATGTCCTGGAAAATATGCTAGACCCTTACAGAAGAGAACTTCTAGGGAATTTTTTAAAGCATTCGAAAGCAATTGCATGGATTTTTTAAAAGATTTTTATGAGTTTTGCGAGAGGAACTTCAAATATATTTAATTTTATTCCATGGAGAATTGAAGTCCAGAAGAATTCCATAAGACAATATAATGAAGATTTTAAAGGAACACATGACCGAGTGATTACTAATGGATTGCTTAGGAGAATTTCCAGGGAATAGTAGTCGTATCATGATTAGAATTACAAGGATAGTATCTTTCATTTTTGAAGGATAATTCCATGGATAGTGGGATAGTGAGGAGAAATTCCGAAAAATTATGGAGAGAATTCCAACCGAATTTGATAATAATTTCAAACTTAAAATTGTGAAAAAATCCAAAGGGATTTCCAGAATAATTCCAGCGAAAGATGGAGCAGAATCCTAAGGGAATTTTAAAAATTATTTCTAACCAGAACTTAAAGTGAATTTAGATATCAATTCTGAATCTGAATGTGAGCATAGTTTCATTGAATTCTAATGTAAACTTCAAGTCTGAGGATAGCTTCAAAGAACTTACAAGGAAGATTCCAAGAGTATTCTAAAAAGAATATCAAAGGATACCTGGGACCATTGCTAAGAATTTCTGGGAAGAATAACAATGTAGTTTTGGGAAATTGAATAGGGAATGCGGAAGAGAATTCCTAAATAAAATTCATGAGAATTTTAATGAAGCCCTGTGAGTATCCCGAAGAGAATCGATCAAAGCAGGTAGAACCTTTTGAGATTTTAACCTAGATAATTTATTATTTATGACATTCTTCGAGTCTTCTGATTTAAAGTCTAGAATATAGTTTTGCAATAATATGTCACGTAAATTAAGCACCGCTCTCTTTATGAGGCTGTAATGGACTGTATGAGATCAACGAGTTGGCAAAACGGAGGTGCTTCGCAATCTGCAAGACAACGCATAAGTATTAATACTAGGATAAGTGTGCTAATTTTTCCTCTAGTTGACCCTATCTTAAATTTCACATTTTTCATTCTTCAATTACACTTACATATTAGAAATTTCACCGAAGTAATGTCAATCGAAATAAATTTTCAAATTATCAAGACAAATGTTCCACGAGTTACAAATGGTCCATGCACAACAATTATGTCACATGCTTAGGATGACATAAATCGTGAATAATATCCCAAATCAAAAGAGGACGCACAGTGGGGCGACTCCTCACAAAACCTGACCAAAATTCTGGAATGCCTTGAGAAAGCCCACCAAAGGTTTCCTTTGGTCAGTTTCACGGTTAGGAACCGATTTGACCAAAATTGTCCAAATGACATATTTATTTGTAGAAAAAGTAAGCTATCGATGTTCATAGCCTGCTTTAGGCATAACCTACTTTGATCTTTGAAACAATGGTTTTCCTTGCATCAAATCGATTTCACAGTTTATCACATTCGATTTCAATAAACATAGATTTCCGCTTAATTCCAAAAGTTTACGGAACTTAACTTGATTTTTGATAAAATTTCCATTCAAACGGAGTAAAATTTATTGAAGCAAAATTGGGCGACTTTTTCAAATTTATGATTGAGCGGTTAAGTAAAATGTGAGAAAAAAAACTTAATTTACCCACCTATGCTGAGATTTGACCCTTCTAACATATTGATTTCATGTGTCATATGATGGGTTTTGGCCCTCTGAATGAACTAGAAACTACACAAGGTGCACCCGGAACATGTCCAGATGTGCCTTCTGCTACTACAGTAACTGACCACCCTTTTTTGTTATGATATATTTACACTTTTAGTTAAAATAAAGTGCCCTCCTCATTATTTTTTTTTCAATTTCTCTCATTTATTTGGTTCAAATTAAAGGAAACACA